AGTGTCAACATAGCTCTAACTTCAGAAAACAAAAAGCGATAGTCTTTCTGAAGTGCTTATAGTGTTTGGAAGGGTTGCTTTTAGGGGTGGTCATTGGAAGAAAAATTTGTCCAAGTATAATATTTTACAAGAAAATGACCATGCACCACCCCAGGTAAATTGCTAATTATGCATAAAATAACTAATATGCCTGGCAGAAATTAAATATTCTTATTTCCTAAAAAAAATTATCATGGGGTGAAAAACTATGCTTAATTTAGTATAAATATTGTTGATATCATACGGATTGTCATTGTTTTCTTTAAATATAATACATTTTATTTCACTTACCCCCACGAAAACACGATTTCAGCCATATTTTGCCATCTTGTTTGCTTTTTATCGCCGAATCTGGCAAATATCATCCAGTTGTTGTACTTTTACATAATCATAAATGGCTGAATTGGAGAAGATTTCAATGAAGGTTTTATCAAGTTTTCAAACAGCGCAATGTATTTTAGCTTCGATATTAATATTGTGTCCTTCTATATTTCGTCAAATTAATAATAATAGACTTTATTTACCACCTTTGGCAAAAGAATTACCGTGACACTATACAAAATTTAAAAAGTATTAAAAATTTACAACAATATTTAAGATATATAGGCTAAAACTTCATCAACTATAATGTACATTTTACTGGAATGAGAGATATAGCTATTATCTTTGAAATCACCAATAACAATTTAATTGTTAGAATTTGAATGCCATAGCACTCTGTTGGTTCCCACAAGTGCATAAATGATTGACGTAAGTAAATTTTATGCATAAAGAAACTATTTATAGAAAGCTGTTTTAGATTCCCAAGAGCAGAAAATCGCGCACTTTACAAGGAGATGTTCTTAACTAAATTTTAATACATGCACCATGTTAATATTTTACGCATCATTACGTTCAGCTTTTTGGTAGGGCATTCAATTTTAACAATACGTAATTTCAATAGTTTTCGTTTTTTTTGGGACACCCCGACAACGACTGCTTTGAATAGCTTAAAATACGACTACAAAAGAATACTAATTAGGATGAACCATAGTACAATCATGCTAATTAAGATGAACAATTATATAATGCCACATGTGTTTTATCAGATATAAAGTCACTCCACGTGACATATTATGGCTGACATGATTTGCCACAAGGTTTATGAATTATTAATGAGTATTTTAAGTACTGCTTAATAAACGAGCAGGAGTGTTTTATTAGGTTTAAAGTGGCTTTAGACCTAATAAAACACGACCTGCGAGTTTATTAAACGGCTTCAAACACGACTACAAATTCAATAGAAATACTGCCTTATTAGTATTTTTTATATAAAGAATACTAATGAGGGTACGACTACAATAGATACTGCTTTATTAGTGTTCTTTATTTAAAGAATACTAATTAGGAGTGTTTTATCAGGTTTAAAGCCACTGCACGTGACATATTATGGTTGACATGATTTGCCAATAAGCTTATGAATTATTAGTGAGTGTTTGAAGTTCATTAAAATAGTTCAACCAGGCAGCTCTCGGAATAAATGATTGTTTATGTCTATCTGTAAATGAGGCTTGATCTCGTAAATCCTATCCACATATCTTTTGTCTTACCGGTATTCAACTCCATTTTATTCTGGGTATATAGCCCAGTCTTCCAAAAAATTCACTGCTTCCTGCATTTTACTGTTTAGTCCAGTAGAAACAAATTCATATTAGCTACAACCATCGGCGTACTTACATGTGGTTGTTGGAAGTTCGTTTGGAATACCATCTTCCATGTCGTTGATATAAATGTTAAATAGCGTAGGGGAGATAATAGCCCCTTGGGGGACACCGGCCGGTAATGCTTCCACTCTGGATAGGACATTTAAGAATTTAAATTGCTGTATCCAATTGGTCACAAAACTCTGTCACCATAGCCAAAATGTCTTGTTAGCCCCCATACGTCCCTACTTCGTTAAGAGGATCTCATGATGATCGACGGTCAACGCTTTTCGGAAATCTATAAAAATCGCATGTACACCATCGTATGGCTACCTTGATCTGTGGCGTCATACCAATCTTGAGTCATGTTGGTCAAAGCGCTGACTGTTGATCTACCCCTCGTAAACGCGTGCTGGTTAGATTTAATTTTAAGATCTGCTTGGTTTAGCTTTAGTTGTATCTTTTCCAAGACTTTAGCCACTTGCGGTAGGATTGAAATCTGCCTGAAATCTGTACTTAAATCCTCAGGATTGTGTACCTTCGGAACGGGGCTAATCAAAGCAATTTATAGGAGCTTGAATATTTATATTGAAGGATGCTAACGCAGATAATTTCGCGGATATTCAGGGCCAATTCTTCATGTAAACGCTTTAGTATCCATGCAGGTACACCATCAACACCGGTTGCCTTCTTGGGATATAAACACTTTAATATTGTCTTTACCTGCCCGAGGCTAGGTAATAGCGGTTTGGGATGTATAATAGACGCTTTTAGATAACAAGACGCGGACGACAAGAGGACGTGAAAATGACGTGTGCACCTCGCGTTCACTTCCGGGTTTTAATCTGGGACGGCTTGTTTGTCTTTTTCGAAGCAAATTTTTGTTTTCTTGTTACCTGTTCATTCCTGTATTGTTTTCAATCAGTTGTCAAGATATGTGCAAGAAAAGGCTATATAATACTGGGCAAGTGTTTCCTGATGAATTAGCATGGACATTCAATAAGTTTTTTTTAGAAAAATGATTATTTTTTGGTATTTTGAAAAGTGAACTTTGTTGTATCATTTGGAATAAATACAACAGCTGCAGGTATTGTTTACGAGCTAATTGTAGCCTATTCAATCAACTTTGTCAACTGTTCAGTATAAATATAGCATCAGTGTTTATATTGGTAAAATTTAGTACTGTTTACGATAGTTTTTTACACTGGAAAGCGTTTTTTTGCTTGTCCTACTTTTTGCACTGTTGTGACAGAGCAACTAAAATTGATTGAGTTTTTACTGCTTTTAAGTGCTTTTATTTTTCTATTTTCCCACGTTTTCCTGATTTTAAACAGTTGTTAATATAACTTCAGTTTCGTTTGTTCTAAAATATTTGTTTTGGTGAAGATTACTAGCGGTATTGAAGTGGTTATTAACAATGCTTGCAGTTTTGTTGATTTGTTTATGGCGACCGAAAGTATTTGTCGAAAATTAACTCGTCTAAAATTTAGCAAAATGCAAGAAAAACAACCTTGTCAATGGAAAAACTTTAGCTAGTATCATTAAACAATACATGGGGAACAAAATAGGATGATTTTTATTATGCATAGTGTCATTTTTTTTCAAAAGAAGCAAAAATCTGTGACGTTCTAGAGAGGACGTGAAAATTGTATATTCGCGTCGTGAAATCGTCCAAGACGACGTCGCAAACTAGAAGCTGACGATAGTTGGCGGCAAATGACGACATCCACGTCCTCTTGACGTCTGCGTCTTGTTATCTAAAACCGTCCAATAAGAATTCGAGCGTCATCAGAGAGTTGAACTCTGGACCCCTGGTTTACTAAACCAGTGCTCTAACCCCTGAGCTAATGAGGCATATTCGTTCAGTAAAACTTTTCCACATGTTATGAAAATGTGGCATTTTTTATGGATATATTTTTGTTTTGACTGGAACAACTCTTTAGAGGTGGGTTCACAATGGAGCGCCGATAATGGTTTCTTGAGTCCCAATTGGTTAATTTAAACAAAATTTCAGAGAATTTTCATTGTTTGATAAAAACATGCAGTTTCATATTTTACAAACCTGAACCACACATGCATGCACAGTTTCATTTCATTGTTAAAAAACTACGCACTGCTACTGTACGAGCCACATCAGAGAATTGAACTCCGGACCCCTGGTTTACAAGACCAGTGCTCTAACCACTGAGCTAATGAGGCATCTGTCGACCAACTACTTTCTTATCGGTTGTATATTGTTAGCCCAAATATCTTGATAGACGAAGAGGGTTACTGTTAAAAAATGGAAAACAACTACAAGCCAAATATGAAATACGATTGTTGGAAAGCACGAAATGGCTGTGATGTTCATTAGTTCATATCTGCATGTATATTAATTGCCTTCCTTGTACTAATGTCAATACAGTAGATCTTCGGTTATTATTTGGCCGAAATATGCATATTCCCACTTTAACTTAAGCTTGTACAGCGCAAAACTTTATATCTATGTTTCGAATAAACCAGCTCAAATTTAAACTTCTACAACACGTTTTAGATTTATTTTTTACCTGCATTACTCCAAGCAAAAAATTATCGCTTTTATTTTTTCTTGTACGTTCCGAAATCATATATTAGACTTTTCGCCAAACCGAAAATGGATCGGGCCTTTGAAATGCTAGCACAATGCTCCGCCAACTGAGCTACGCCCGATCAGGTCGGTTAGACTATGTGATATTTCAGAACTGAGTCTAGTTCCATCGATATCAGTAATAAGGTGAATATGATGTTCGTGTTGTTATACTCTGAGTGTGAATGCACACAGAGGGGCCGGAATATCGATAATTGGGGAGGCATATATTCATATATTCGTGTTCTGCCCGATTAATTTCTTTTGAAATCGATTGTTTTTACAGTCTGTGAACACAAATATATGAATATGTACCCCCTCAAATTATCGATATTCCGGCGCCTCTGTATGCACATCGGGCAAGCTTCAAAGATATGTCTGGCCACGGTGGGGATCGAACCTACGAGCTCGTAAATTACGAACTCCATTATCTACCTGGTTTCAAAAATAAGAATTCGAGCCCCATCAGAGAATTGAACTCTGGACCCCTGGTTTACTAGACCAGTGCTCTAACACCTGAGCTAATGAGGCGTATTCGTTCAATCAAACTTTTCCACATGTTATGAAAATGTGGAATTTTTTATGGTATATTTTACAAAATAAAAAACAAATCTTTTGAAAGTCACGCGCAATCTTCGCGAAAAGTTCTCGTGCACACATCGGAGGTAGGGGGGGGTCAATATTTTCACAAAAATTTGTTCGCCGAGCACCACAGCAACCTAACTAAATTACACTATATTTATTGTATTTTTATGATTGATGGTAAAGACGATAAACATTTGCGTAAACATCATACGTTTGAGCAAATTTTTCACAATCAAAGTATAGTCGCAGAAAGTTGTGCCTCTTTAGCTTAGGGGTAGAGCAGTAGTCTTTCAAACTGAAGGTCGCTAGTTCGAATCTCTCATGAGGCTCGATCAATTTCTTTGTATTCATTAGTGAAATGAAATTTGGAAATGGTCGGATCTTTGAGATGCTAGCAGAATGCTCTGCCAACTGAGCTACGCCCAGTGAGGTTGGTTCGACTATGTGATATTTCAGAACTGAGTCTAGTCCATCGATATCAATGCAATCTAATAATCATGATTTGCTGTGTTGGTGTTCTGTACTAAGGTAAATATGATGTTGGCGTTGTTATACTCTGAGTTTGTATACACACCGGGCAAGCTTCAAAAATATGTCTGGCCACGGTGGGGATCGAACCTACGAGCTCGTAAATTACGAACTCCATTATCTACCTGGTTTCAAAAATAAGAATTCGAGCCTCATCAGAGAATTGAACTCTGGACCCCTGGTTTACTAGACCAGTGCTCTAACCCCTGAGCTAATGAGGCGTATTCGTTCAATCAAACTTTTCCACATGTTATGAAAATGTGGAATTTTTTATGGTATATTTTACAAAATAAAAAACAAATCTTTTGAAAGTCACGCGCAATCTTCGCGAAAAGTTCTCGTGCACACATCGGAGGTAGGGGGGGGTCAATATTTTCACAAAAATTTGTTCGCCGAGCACCACAGCAACCTAACTAAATTACACTATATTTATTGTATTTTTATGATTGATGGTAAAGACGATAAACATTTGCGTAAACATCATACGTTTGAGCAAATTTTTCACAATCAAAGTATAGTCGCAGAAAGTTGTGCCTCTTTAGCTTAGGGGTAGAGCAGTAGTCTTTCAAACTGAAGGTCGCTAGTTCGAATCTCTCATGAGGCTCGATCAATTTCTTTGTATTCATTAGTGAAATGAAATTTGGAAATGGTCGGATCTTTGAGATGCTAGCAGAATGCTCTGCCAACTGAGCTACGCCCAGTGAGGTTGGTTCGACTATGTGATATTTCAGAACTGAGTCTAGTTCCATCGATATCAATGCAATCTAATAATCATGATTTGCTGTGTTGGTGTTCTGTACTAAGGTAAATATGATGTTGGCGTTGTTATACTCTGAGTTTGTATACACACCGAGCAAGCTTCAAAAATATGTCTGGCCACGGTGGGGATCGAACCTGCGAGCTCGTAAATTACGAACTCCATTTTCTACCCGGTTTCAAAAAATAAGAATTCGAGCACCATCAGAGATTTGAACTCTGGACCCCTGGTTTACTAAACCAGTGCTCTAACCCCTGAGCTAATGAGGGATATTCGTTTAGTCAAACTTTTCCACATGTTATGAAAATGAGGAATTTTTTATGGATATATTTTTGTTTTTATTTTCACGCGCAATCTTCGCGAAAACATCTTGCGGTCATATCACAGGGGAGGGGGGCGTGAATATTTTCACGAAACGTTTATTCGCCGGCCACCACAGCCAACTAACTAAATTACACTATATTTATTGTATTTTTATGATTGATGGTAAAGACAATACATATTTGCGTAAACATCGTGCGTTTGAAAAAATCTTTCACAATCAAAGTAAAGTTGCAGAATGTAGTGCCTCATTAGCTCAGGGGTAGAGCAGTAGTCTCGTAAACTGAAGGTCGTGAGTTCGAATCTCTCATGAGGCTCTATCAATTTCTTTGTATTTCTTCGTAATCACTAGACCAGTGCTCTAACCCCTGAGCTAATGAGGCATATTCGTTCAGTCAAACTATTCCGCATGTTATGAAAATGAGGATTTTTTTATGGATATATTTTTGTTTTTATTTTCACCCGCAATCTTGTCGAAAACGTCTTGTGGACACATCACAGGGGGGGAGGATGCATATTTTCACGAAACGTTTGTTCGCCGGCCACCACACCAACCTAACTAAATTACACTATATTTATTGTATTTTTAAGATTGATGGTAAAGACGATAAATATTTGCTTAAACATCACGAGTTTGAACAAATCTTTCACAATCAAAGTACAGTTGCTGAAAGTTGTGCCTCATTAGCTCAGGGGTAGAGCTGTAGTCTCGTAAACTAAAGGTAGTGAGTTCGAATCTCTCATGAGGCTCTATCAATTTCTTTGTATTCATTAGCGAAATGAAATTTGAAAATGGATCGGATCTTTGATATGCTAGCAGAATGCTCTGCCAACTGAGCTACGCGCAGTCAGCTCCGTTCGACTCATAGATATCTTATATACACTAGATAGAGCATCTAATTATTCTGCAATTCAAAAATTGAAGCCGTGATTGCAGTCTCAGGTCGTTCCCATGAAGTGAGAAGATTCGTATGTTTTTTATTTCTTAAACACGGAACTTAAACATGAAGTTAACCCTATGCCAAATACGTTTTTAAACTATTCAAGTGATGAAAGTTATTGTTGTTTTTAAGCGTTTATTAGCAAGTGGGAACGACCAACATGGCGCCATCTATTCAAATGGGGGTAACCGCTGGAATATTCTTGGCTTCAATTTTACTAAAGCAGATGCGCTATCTAGTGTATATAAGGGACCGGTCATTATTTATGGCGGGGGGTGGCACCGAAGAGAAATGTTTTCCGTGTCAAAAATTTTGCTGACCCAACCATTAAAAAGACAAAAATTTGATTACCCAACCTCAAATATCAATTAAAAAATAACTACCCACCCCTGGCCAAAAACTTAACAAAAGGATACCATTCAGTTGTCATACACGTCCTTTATCACTTCAGTGACATGAGTTTGATAATGGCTTGTGAAATTTTCTGCAGTCTAAAGTTTCATGTTGTCTGCACATGTACTTTCTTTGGAAACACAATTTGTTTTGTCGAACTATGGTGAAGATAGTGACTCTGATTGATTCACATATAGTATGGACAAATGACTGTTGACATTGCTTTTCAGTCTCCAATATTTCAGTGGGTTATGCTTTGGAAATGACAATAAATTTTTATTACCCAACCCTTGAGTTGTTTTGTTTTTCATTTACCCAACCTTTTACTCACTCAAAATTTTGTTTACCCAACCCTTTTCTCTTCGGTGGCACCCCCCGCCATAAATAATGACCCGTCCCTAAGATATCTATGGTTCGACTATGTGATATTTCAGAACTGATATTTTCTAGTTCCATTGATACCAATCCTTTGTAGAATCAAACAATATTTAATTGCTATTTAATTCCTATTTTATTGGGCTATTTAATTCCTATTTGTCAAAGAATTTATTTCCTATTTTTACTATTATTTTTTTCGAGGTTTTTCCTATTTAAATTAGGGTAGAAGGCCTCTTTTTTTCTTATCCATGTGGAACCATATTTTTTTCCTATTCATGATATATTTCTAAACAAATACTTAATTGATGTACTCGAATAGAAATTAAATAGGTTTCAAATATGATAAAAATAGAGCTATTTAAGGAAATTATTAAAAAGATATAGTTTCGACATAGTTAATAAATATGTATGAAATAGTTAAAACATAGTGACAATATAGGTTAAAAAATATGCAACAAATAGCTGAAATGAGTTCGAACTAAGTTTAAAATAGTCAATAAATAGTTCAAAAATGGGTCATTCCAGAAAAGAGCCATACCCCCCCCCCCACGGAGAAAATCGAAAATAACCCCTTCTCCCCTTCGAACATCCTTGAATGCTTCATCCTCCCCCCCTCCCCGCACATCGAAGCCCAAAATTACCCCCTCCCCTTCGGACATCCACTATTTCTAAATTTTTCTAAAGGCCACCTCGCCGTTTGAAAACGTCACCGAAAATTAGACTGGGTTCACACTACGCACAAGCGAACTAATGCGGGCAGAATTTACGTGTGTTCACACTACCGCTATTACAGTTTGTTTACAAATTGAATGAGCACTCGTGTAAACCCAAAATATTTCAAATAGACCCAAGAAATTTAACTGAAAAGCATTCGAGTTTACACGTTTGTGTTCACACGAAGCTATCAAGCGCTCCGCCGCCTTTTCACCTCGCTCCGTTTAGAAACCGTGCACGTGAAAGTTTTCAAACGATTTCGCTCCAGCATAGAGTGAATTAGCGATGGCTTATTGTGACTTTTCTACGCTGTTTTCAAATAGCTCCGGCGTGGCGGAACACTTGGCGGCTTCTTGTGACTTGCGAACACAAACACGTGGCAGGTTTTGTTGGATAATTTGCAGAAATTCACTTCGAAATTGGTTCAAGTAAAATTCAGAGTATAACTTGCGACTGATTGACAAGCGTTGCTATGTTTACTTACATGTTAATGCATTTTTTAGTATTACTGCATTCCTTAACCTCGCCCTTAATATGAAAGCCATTTCTATTTTCTAGACACGCACCTCGCAAGGAAGCTTCACTGATTATATACTAATTTCATATTACTAATTTCGACTCATTCTCAACATGCAGGATACGTTGCATGCAGCGAGTTAGTTTTTGGTGGCCATGCATGCAAAAGTGGGCCGCTTATTTTGCTTACGAGTTACGTGGACGTATAATTATTGCTGTTTAATACATAAACGTTCCGGTGTTCAAGAGCTACATATAGCCGGTAAAAATTGCGTGCTCATTATAATCGCCGATCACATAGCTTTATCACAGTCTCAAACTTTCAGACAAACATATCCACATTCCTCTCCCCCCTTCGGACATCCTAAGACATTTTTCCCTTCCCCCCCCCCTTCGGACATCCTGAGACATTTTTCCTCCCTCCCCCTTCGGACAGCAAAAATTTCCTCGTGGGGAAGGGGTATGGATCTTTTCTGGAACGACCCAATAGTGATATTATAGTTTAAAAATAGATAATAAATATGTTTGCGATGTTACTCTGAGTGCATATCCACACCGGGCGAGCTTGAAAAATATGCCCGGTCACGGTGGGATTCGAACCTACGACCTTTGGAATACTAGCCCAATGCTCTTCCAACTGAGCTACGCGGTCAGGACGGTTCGAGTAAGTGATATTTCGGAACAGTATCTAGTTCCTTCAATACCAATGTGTTCTTGTAATATGAATTTTTTTTTTCTGTGCTGGTGTTGTGTACTCAGGTGAATAATATGTTTGTGATGTTACTCTGAGTGCATATCCACACCGGGCGAGCTTGAAAAATATGCCCGGCCACGGTGGGATTCGAACCTACGACCTTTGGAATACTAGCCCAATGCTCTTCCAACTGAGCTACGCGGTCAGGACGGTTCGAGTAAGTGATATTTCGGAACAGTATCTAGTTCCTTCAATACCAATGTGTTCTTGTAATATGATTTTTTTTTTTTTCCTATGTTGGTGTTGTGTACTCAGGTGAATCCCACCGTGGCCGGGCATATTTTTCAAGCTCGCCCGGTGTGGATATGCACTCAGAGTAACATCGCAAACATATTATTCACCTGAGTACACAACACCAACACAGAAAAAAAAAATAGATAATAAATAGTTCAAAAATAGTGATATTATAGTTTAAAAATAGATAATAAATAGTTCAAATATAGTGATAATATCGTTTAAAAATAGATAATAAATAGTTCAAAAATAGTGATAATATGGTTTAAAAATAGATAATAAGTAGTTAAAGTACATCCCAGTTTGTTAAAAATAGATAATAAATAGTGGATATAATATTGTTCAAATAGATTAAAAATAGTTAAAAATAGCAATAACATATTAAATCAATATTTAAAATATGTCCTGTTGATACAGTTAAAATAGTTATTAAATATATAGTGTATCAGTAGTTAAAACATAGATAATAAAAAGTTAAAACATATAATGTAAATAGACTTCAAATAAAATATAATTGGTAAAAGAAATGAGAACAAGTGTACAAGTGCTGAAACATCAGAGGCTATTACAGACCTACTTTAGTATTTACCGTCTGTAAATGCCATACAATTTTACTTATCAGTAGGTAGAGGTCTGTCAATAAATCAGTTAAAAATCTGTAGTTAGCAGTCTCTATAGTAGCCAAAGAGTTAAGTATAACATAGAGTAACTTGGCTGGGGCACTGGGCAGAAAAAATGCAATAACATGATGTAACATCAAGAATAGGGCGAAGCTCAGCTGCAGCTAAGTTCAGGCCTGCTTTACAGGTTAGAAAAAACATTTACATATTTGAATAATACCCTGAATCTAGCTGGATATTTTTCAACTATCCAACATATATCCTATATGCAGCTGGATAGCAAAAACATTCTATCCTGTACACCCCTAGTACTTATTAAGTAGGAAGTGTTATATGTCAACATGAAACATGAGCAGGGTCTAGCACGCTAGCTAGACACTTCCCTTGATGAATAAAATTGTCCGGCATTAGGCAAGATAACATTTAATAACAAAGTGCTGAATATTGGGCTCATTGGAGTGAAATGGGTAATTCTAAAAACAACCAAACCCTTGCCGGGGTGCCTCTAAAATATATAAAATGTAGCCCTAAGGTTGTTACATATAATACTATTAAGCAGATTACATAGCAAAAAATCATTTTCTTATTTTAAGAAAAAAGAACTTGTTTTAAGAAAATTTTCTTGAAATAAGAAAATATTTTCTTGAGAGAATAACAAGAAAAATTTTCTTAATAAGAAAATTTTCTTAAGAAAATTTTCTTTAGAAAAAATTCTTAAGGGACCGGTCATCATTTATGGCGGGGGGTGGCACCGAAGAGAAAAGGGTTGGGTAAACAACATTTTGAGTGAGTAAAAGGTTGGGTATATGAAAAACAAAACAACTCAAGGGTTGGGTAATAAAAAATTATTGTCATTTCCAAAGCATGACTCACTGAAATATTGGACACTAAAAAGCATATGTAATACAATATGTGAATCAATCAGAGTCACTACTTACTATCTGTCATTTTCCGATTTGTTGGGAGACAAATGGTATCTCATGCAATTTAGAAACTACATGTGCAGACAATATGAAACTTTAGACGGCAGAACATTTCAAAATCCGTTGTCAAACTCGTGTCACATAAGTGGTAAAGGCAGTGGTGTCAAGTAACGAAGTAAATGTCCTTCTTTACTGTACTCGAGTACAATTTTTGAGAAGTGAGCATGTAACAAAGTAAACTTTTTCTGGAGTACTTTTACTTGGAACGAAGTCGTTTTAAGAAGTAACGTTTTACTTCGTTATTTTCATTTTGTGGCGAAGTATTTCGTTACTTTCTAACTTTTGTTTAATTTTACGTGATTTATTTCTGGTTTATTTTAATTTCGGGAAAGGTAATACTACCTCTACATGCGTCTGGGATCTCTCGTTTGTGACTTACTTATAAGAATTTTTTATTTAATGGATTTCTTAAATCTTCAACGGGGTCTGGAAAGTAGACCGTGCCGTGAAATATTGTATATTCGGTGAACGCATATAATGCGTGTGTTGTTTTGTGTCTTTTGTATGTTAATCCATTGGAGAAGTTCCCCTCCCCCTCTACACGCTACAGACAATAATACTTTTACTTTGTACTTCAAGTATTTTTTAAGGATACTTTGTACTTTTTACTTAAGTACGTTTTGCTTCCAGTACTTTTTACTCTTACTCAAGTCGTTTTATTGTTAATTACTTCTAAGTAATTTAGGCACCACTGGGTAAAGGACATGGTGACAATTGAATGGTATCCTTTTGTAAAGTTTTTTGCCAGGGGTGAGTATTTATTTTTTAATTGATATTTGAGGTTGGGTAATCAAATTTTTGACTTTTTAATGGCAATGGGTCAGCAAAATTTTTCCCACGAAAAACATTTCTCTTCGGTGCCACCCCCCACCATAAATAATGACCGGTCCCTAAATTGAGAAAATATTTTCTTATTTTAAGAAAATATTTTCTCAAATCCAGAATTTTTTTTCTTATTAAGAAAATTTTCTTGTTATTCTCCCAAGAAAAAAGTTTTCTTGAAATAAAAAAAATTTCTTAAAATAGGAAAATAATTTCTTATTTTAAGAAAATAATTTCTCAAATCAAGAAATTTTTCTTAAAAAGAATTTTCTTATTAAGAATGTGTTGTTTGGGTGTTAGGTACTCAGGTGAATATTGTTTTTGATGTTACTCTGAATGTATATGCAGTTAGCAGAGCATTGGACTAGTATCCCAAAGGTTGCGGGTTCGATTCCCACCATGGTCAGGCTAACTTTTCAGCCTGCCCGGTGTGGATATACACTCAGAGTAACATACATGCAAAACATCAAATTATAGTCAATTTATACTAGTTCTTTTTTCAGCCACTGTTATACAACTAGGTGTAGTTCTGATTGCACAGCAATATGTTGTAGAAAACTTAAGTTCTCCTGAATACCTAACTCTTTCCACATGACAAGGCAGACAAGCAATATTATCTGACAAACCGTTTGTTCAAAGTCTATAGATTTCTTTATAATGAACATTAAACACTGACAAGTTCCAAACACATCATGCAAATGCCACTGGAGATCCATCATATATACATCCTTATACAGCTATAGTAATCTGTAAAAGGAAAAGTTTACTTACATATTGAGAATGTAATCATTACTCTAAGTATTATATGTGGTGTATACAGAAATATAAATGAATTTATTAGTGATTTTCAGCAGCTTTTCGCACTTGTATTCGACTTTTCTGCTTTGCTTGGGGGACAACCTTAATTGAAATAGCTATACTGCGTGGAGCAGATGTTAGATGTGATACTAATTTTAAGAACTATATATGTAATATTACAGGTAACTTATATAATGAATAAATAGGGCACTATGAAAGTTTATGGAAGACGTTAAATCTTCCGGCTCGCAAACATTAATTTAAAATAAAAATTAATACAATTATAAATTTTATAACGACAAAAGGAATGTCAAGAAAAATAGGAAAATGGTGGGTGAATTGCTGCGAAGCCCGTGTGATTTAGACGTTATACCTCAAATTTAAAGTGTCCATGAATCTTAAGGCTACGTTAATTTAGCCACATGAGTATGACATTTCTCTTCAAATCACACCTTACGCCCTACCTCCGCCGCAGCTATTTCAAAATTATATAGGGAGGAGAAATGTGGTGGGAAACGAACGGAAAGACCTGCGCGCGGACTAATTTTGCATGATGGCGGGAGCCGCAAGACAAATTATATTTATATTTAATTTTACCATGCAGATCAATAGTATTATTAAAGTCTTTAACTACTTCTGCATGATATAGACCGCTTTTCGTATACGCAATATAGGCTACATGTACATAAAACAGTGAATACTGAACAAACAAGCATACATTGTTTTACAAAGAGAAGCAGATAAATATCAGTTAATTTGCATCTTAAATTCTAAAACAGACAAATACTCTTTTATATATAACATGTCGTATGTCAAACATGCGCCGGTTTATCCGCGAAATTTATTCCATTTATATTTGTCTTTCATACAGTGTAACTATTTATAAATTCGTGTGTATATAGTCAAAACATCCTACTTGGCCAAATGATATAGATGCACGACGTCTATATCACTGTCGCATCTGCTTGTAAAACCTTCCATTCTTTGAAATTTCTCGTAGACATCTTGGAGCCCTTGGGGGCCCTTGGGTTTGGTGTTAGGTTGAAGTAATGCGGCACCAAGGCCATCTTATATCCGAAGTACCACCATCTTGGAGCACCACCGGAGCGTCAAAGTAGCGGAGGCATGGAGCTGTAGAGACCGGTTGTTTAGTCTTTCTAAATACTTCAGAGTGTTGATCTGCCCACTCTATAGCAGATAAATTCTTGTTTGATGTGAGTGAGGTCCCGGAGTGGACGGACTATCTTGCTGAGGTTATAGGGCAAAACTTGGTAGGTGATGGTGTCCAGAAAACGTCGAGTTGCAGCCTTGTCTTCAGGTTGGGGCATTTCGAGAACCGCTTTTGCATCCTCTGCACTGAGTTTGAGACCATTAGAGGTAAGTATCTGGCCCATAAATGGTGCTGCATGTGATTTAAACGTGATTTTGTCTGGGTTGAGTGCGAGGAAGCATGTGCAAAGTTAAGCGCTTTAACAATTTAATTGGGCTTTGATCATGATCACGAGTGGCTGCCTGAAGAGAATGACTACGACTCATCACAATTATGTTATCAGCAATGTTGTTTATTCATGATCTAGGCCACGAAGAACATCATGGATGCGCCGCTGGAATTCCTCAGGTGCGGAGCTGATGCCAAAGGGCAGGCGAGTCCAAACGGGTCTGATTATTGCCTTGTTAACAGTTTGTGAGGGACCCAAACAAAAGCGCACTTTCGCAGGTTTGTGGTTGTTGCAGGACGCTCCCGCACCACCATATTGGAGATCCATGGTGTAGTCTCGTCATTCGAACTATCTGTCCAG